TGAAAATGATAAGAAGGGTAACAGTCGTAATCCGCTGCCGAAATCGCTGTTATCGGGAGCAGTCAAGAAGATCGGGGTTTCGTTCTTTCTTGTAGAGAAGCTTCTGATGTTTAATGAATCACTTAACTATCCGTTGTGGATCGATTTCGCGAGATCCGAAATAGAAGAAATAAGACAAATTGAAGTCGCTTCCCACTTTTAGGATCGTTCTTCTCTCTGTCAGATATTAACCAGCCTGTCACTCGGCAGAGGGATTTTGATCTGGTCTAATCGTTGGGCCAGCTATTCTTCATTGAGCGTGGCGATAACGCGATTATTTTAAGGCATAAGGATATTAAAGTTTAGCCTGTTTGCAATTGTTCGCGGAACAAGATATATATTTTACTTTTGATCGCGAAATTTATATGAAATTGTATATTTGAAAAGAAATCGACTATTAGATTCTGCATCCGCGTTTGATTCCTTACGTATATTATAATATTGTGCAAATTATATGAAATGCGCCTCTAATGTTGCAATATTTTTATTGTCGCACAAAATGATAATAATTATATTACGCACGTTGTATTCCGATTATTATAGAAATTATGTGTATTGTGGTTAAATATTACTGTTATTATTAATTTATTTATTTATCATATATATTCGCGAAATTTAATTTTTTCTCTGATTTAATTGTTGGGTAACATCAAAGTTTTACTTATCTTTCCGCGTCATCAAACATTTCTTTTAGAAAATCTTATAAAATGAATTAAAATTTCGCATTAAAATTACTTTTTCTTAATTGAGAGGAACACAAGCGATAAATTTATTAATGATTTTTTTAGTCCCGATAGATTATCAGCTACGCTAATCTAAAAATTTTCTAAAAATTTCTAAACAATTTTACGTTGTACGTATTGCGGATATTTTCGTGTAAAGTAATCTATGTATATATTCTACATAACAATTTTTTATGTATTATATATAATATATATTTTATTATTATGTATTACACTATATATTTTCAACGAAAAATTTTATGTATTATCTTATTATATTGACAATTTTATGTATTATATATATATATGTGTGTGTGTGTATTATGTATATATATTTTATTATTGTTATTGTTATACATTATATATTTTCAATTTGATTGTATTATTATATATTAAATTAATTTTCTAATTTATATTTTATAACTCTATTGTATTTTGAGTTAAAATAAAATATTATACAATATATTAAGTTATACTATTATGAAAATGATAACAAAATTATGTGTAAAAGATATTTGTAACAATAGAAAATAAATCTTGAATAAATGTCGAAAAATGGAAAATATATCTTCATTTTTCGAAAAATTATTTTATTCTTCGAATTTTCCTTTTTTTCTTTCTATATATATAGTATTATTGTAAGTCCAAGAATGTGTGTGTGCTCTCAACATCATTATCCGTATTATTGAAAATATTTGCATAAATTCGAATACATATTTATTTGATGTTGTTACCAATTTATAAATTGTACTATAATTATAATATATATTTTGTAATATATTTTTATATGACTGCAAGCTATGTAATTATGCATTATAATATTTTATAATTATATAATATATATATAATATATGTATATTTTATACATCCTTTGTATTATATTTTCTATTTGGAAAATTTGAAAAACCTACATTATATTAAAAGAAAATAAAATAAAAAAATTCTACCTCTTCGATGGTATCTCCACCTTAACGAAGGCATTTGCCGGGTGAAGAGGTTTGAGTACTCTAATGATCCGGAGAGCTATGCCGGCGGTAACGTAGGCCGGTATTCATACAATTTGTTTTTATATTTAATCATCTTAAATATAATCTTAGATCGCATCTTAAAATTCTGTTCAATCTCAATGAAATAACAAACATTTTCTAAATTTTACTTAAAACGATTTTAAATATAAGACTGTGTAAACACCGGCCTTAATTACTGGTAGGGTCACCCATGCCGGATAGGTCAAAGAGAAAGAGTCAGACTAAGAGAGATACCGTAATTATAATTATTATATTAATAATTATTAATTAATTATATATATTAATTTATATTATACATTATTAATATATATTATATATTAATATATATTATACTTATTAATTATTAATATAATAATTATATTATAATATAATATATTATAATACTTAGTTAATAATTATTATATATTTTGAATAAGATGGAAGAGAGTAAAAGAATGATAAAACGATAAGAAGAAAGAAGCACGAGTCCCTATAGTCTTGGGAATGCGACAGATCACAACATTGCAAAGATTTGAAGAAGAAGATGCATCGGATAAACATGTGTAGTAATTAGGAATAGCTTGCAATTAAGTCGACTAATAATAGTAATACTTTTTAATTATGTTACACTTTATAATTTAGCACATTGTATTATATATACATATAAAGCATCAAGCATTAAATATTTTGCTGTTAATGAAAATTGTAATAGAACAATATAAAAAATTTGCTACATAAAGTGTAACATTCGAAAGCACTTTTTTCACTGACGAGATACTATTAAAGATCAATGATTTTACAAGATTTATCGTGACACGAAACATTTATATATATACATATACATATATATTTATGTATATACATATATATATATATATATATATATATATATATATTTATATTTAAAATAATCTAGATCGCGTCTTGAGATTCCGTTCAGTTAGTAAAATAGTTGTATTTTCCAACTTACTTAAGAGGATCTTAAATATAAGAGTGAATTATGAATGCGATGTATTTTTGTGCGGACATTTATCGAAAGGAATGCACGTGCTTCTCCAAATTGAGATGAGATAAGATTGCAAAATATCGAAGCTTTATGCAATGTGTGTAATCTAAATCTGTTAACGTACAAGTATTAGAGTAACGGAATAAGTATATGTAATTTGATTAAAAATACGTTTCTTACATGAATTTTTAATTACATATTTTATTATACTACAAATAAAAAAATCATGCTTGCGATTCTAACAATTTACCGACATGCACAAAATGATGACTTTACCGGCAGTCGAAATATTTGACTACGTAATTCTGGTGTTTAACGCGAATGCAGATGGCGATACTAAACAGCAAAGAAAGATGGCCGCATGAGTGAAACGCGAGGCGCGAAATATTGCATTTCGTATATCGTTCTTTGCGAAAAAAATGTGTGATAGTGTTGTACGTATTCGCGATTAACAGTTCAGTATCGATGAATACTAATCAACGCAAGTATAATTTGTCGTGCATTGGATATGTCTTCAAACTCTGTATATGAATTGTTTTCGAATCGTTCTGATCGCACGTTCCGATAACACAGTGATCCAAAAAAAATCGTCAAATATATTTCGTACGATTAGAATGGTGCACAGTATCGAGTGACTTTTATTTATTTGAAGCGCGACGTATTTTTGTGCGGACATTTATCGAAAGGAATGCACGTGCTTCTCCAAATTGAGATGAGATGAAGATTGCAAAATATCGAAGCTTTATGCAATGTGTGTAACCTAAATCTGTTAACGTACAAGTATTCGAGTAACGGAATAAAAGATAAAGATTTTGAGATCGTACAAGTTCGTATGATATATATGTATATATTAATATCAATCTTTATTATATATTTATATATTTATTTATTTATGAGTCTTCTTTTTCTTTTTCTGAACATCATTTATTTATTTATTTATTTATTTATTTAGTTCGCTCTTAGTCCTTTAAAATGCAAAAGTAAATATTATAAGATTTGACTTTGGAAAAGCGCGATAAAACAATCGAATCATTCGTAATTCATATCATTAGCATAATATACTATGGATTTTCTACGTTATATATTGAATCGAAATTGCGCGAAAGAGGAAAAAAAGAACAAGCCTATGAATAGACATTTCCATCCTTTACTAAAAGAAAAAGAAATTAAAAATATCTCTCCATTTTTTTTCTATTTCTTCGGGCAAGTCTACATATAAAACCAATATGATTAACTGATTCCATCTTTATATATTTATCATTATGTGCTATTAATTAAAGCCGTAGACAATATTCAGTAATCAAAGTTGCGCGCAGGAAAGGCCATGCGCAGAAAAAGGCGAATGCGCAGTGGTTCGGCCGCCATGTTGGCGCGTGTCTGCACGTCATACGCGTCATTGCTACGTCATACGCGTCATACGGGAATCGGAGTCATACGCAGTTACACGGATCGTCGTACGTCCGCATTTTTCGCATCTTTTAACCGTTTTTAAACGAATATCGCGAGTGAACGAGCGTCGAGAGTGTCCAAGGATGATCGTGCGACTTTCATAATATGTCGGTGAAAGTGCGCGACAGCTATTTTTCACAGTTCAGTGATAGCGCGATCGCGAAGATGGAGCGAAGTCGCGTCGCGTTATTTGCGCCCTTGATGATGATTATCGGATGCGAGCGAATATCGGGAGTGCCGAATAAAGTGTCGCGCGTTCGCGTTGATGATATCGTGTGCATCAAGATTGGAATGGGACGTCCCGAGGCGAGCGAGTGGAGCGGCCTGTGGAACAGCCGGTGAACGGTGAGTAGATGTGATTTATCATATTTGCGTGACAATTCGTGCTCATTCGACGCTTATACAGCATCGCGATGTCCCGAATTACGTTCGAACAAATCGGCGCCGCATCATAATTCGATGCGATGCCGTGCAATTCAAATAAAGTCGATCGCGTGAAGATGGTTAGGCTAGAAGCGATTTCAAATTTATTTTATATACGCGCAGTGCTGCACAGCCTATCTCGTAGGGCTGCCAACTGTTAAGGTGCAATTTCATTGACGCTAAAAAGTAGCGTCAATGAAAAGGCCGCTTTACACACTGAAAAAGTTGAAACTGTTTGAACTTTATTTTATTGACGCCATATCTAGAGAAAGTCTAGTGATTTTAATTTGCCGCTGGTTTCTAGCGTCAATGAAATTGCACCTTAAAGAACAACATTTTATGTGCTTCCTTAAGATTCCAAAAGAGGGCGACGGTGTCATCAATTCGCTTCGAATGCGCTGTTCGCCACGTTGGAAGACTCGACTTGACACTAGGTCATTACCTGACAACTACAGACTTGGAAGAGAAATATATACATGTTTTAACTCTGTTTTATATAAAATCTCAATTTACAACTGCCCGAAAATACTATCAAGGTGAGACACTGAGATTTTCACGTTACCATGTGGTTTCATTATGGTTCGAGAAATGATATAAATTTTATCCCGATTTATTTAATGCGGCTGACATTTGACATCTACGGAATTTATGCGATTAATTTCTATTACTTGAGCTTCCGCATACTTTTATTTGCATTAGCTGTCAAGAAACATTCTCTTTCAATATCAAGACTAATAAGATTATTTTTCAAGAAACTATTTTTCAAGAAACTATTTTTCAAGAAATATTCAAGAAATTATTTTTTCAAGAAAAGGGATAGATTACAGGATTTTTCTCATATTATATACAGATGAAGGTCAAGGAACTACTGAAGACTGTGAATGTAGCATGGTCTCCGCCAGCTCAACATCCCATTATGCTAGCTGCTGGGACTGCGGCACAGCAACTGGATGCGAGTTTCAGTACGTCCGCTAGTTTAGACCTATACTCGCTGAATTTACAACAACCAGGATATGAAATGGAACTCCGGGTCAGTGTCCCTAGTGATCATAGGTCAGTATGATCAGCTGATGAAAAATTAAATCTGTTTGTTTGCCATTATTGTATATCATTTTTATGGGTTTATCATTTGTATAGGTTTCACAAAATTATTTGGGGATCATATGGTAATAATCCAACAGGTATAATTGTTGGAGGTTGCGAGGATGGCACTATAAAAATCTATTCCGCTGCCAAGTTATTAAGCAGAGAAAGTAATTGCTTGATAAGTAGCCCTCATCGACATACCGGTCCTGTTAGGGCAATGGATTTTAATCCTTTTCGAGAAGAAAACCAATTAGCTACAGGTGCAACAGAAAATGAGATCTATATTTGGGATATTAATACAAGTACACCGACAACTCTTTCTAAAAGTCAACAATCAGAGGATGTTCAACATATTGCTTGGAACAAGCAAGGTGCTTTTGTTAGATTATAGTCAAAGAAATTGCATGCTGATGTCCAAAATAGTTTATTTCTATGCTAATCTAATTTTGGAAATTAATATGTTGTACTTTCTTTTTTATTGTACAGTACACTTGAAAGACATTCTCGCCTCTACATTTTCACAATATTGCATTATATGGAATGTGAAAGAAAAAAAACCGATATTTAAATTGACAGATGCAAACTCGAGGGTATACAATATTTTTTTTTCATCTTCTTTAATAATGATGGGAATATATTTAAAGAATATCTTCAAGCAACTATTACGTTTTGGCTATAGGTACGTTGGAAAGCTGCCCAGTGGCATCCAGACATTGGAACACAATTGTGTTTAGCATCAGAGGACGACCAAATGCCTGTTATTGAATTATGGGATGTGAGAGTTCCAACATCGCCTTTAAAAACATTGCAAGGACATCAGCGTGGTATCCTTTCAATTGCATGGAATCCGCATGATTCTGACCTACTTTTGAGCTGTGCTAAGGATAATAAAATTTTGTGCTGGAATCCCAATTCAAACGCACCGGTATTGTATAATGGATTATTTTTAATTATTAATTAAAGAAAAATTGATCAAACTCAAGTATTAATATATGTTCTTTATGTAACTATAGAATGGTGAGATAATATGCGAGTTAGCTCAAACAGCACAATGGAACTTTGATGTGTCTTGGTGTCCAAGGTATCCAGGATTAATTGTTGGCAGCAGCTTCGATGGTCATGCTGTTGTCTACTCTTTACTGGGCAAACAACAGCAAGAAACATCCAAGATGATGGATTCATTCCCAGGAATGGATCCCTTTGCCCAATCTACAATACAAACAGGATCGACAGCAGTATTAACGAAAGCTCCCAAATGGTTGAAGAGACCATTTGGAGCATCGTTTGGAGTGAGTTTTTAAATTTGGAATCAAACACTATTTATTTATAATAAAAAATAAGAATTATCTAATAAAAATTAATATGAATTTTAGTTTGGTGGTAAATTGGTAATTTTTAAAAATCAATCTGCCGATCCAAATTTAATAAACAGAAAAGTTATTATATCACAAGTAATCACACAACCAAATCTTATTCAACGTTCAAACAAATTAAAAGCAACATTGGAGACTGAACAATATAGTGAATTCTGTAAGGAAAAGATGGAGAAATCTCCAGATGAACATACTAAGAAAATTTGGTGCTGTGTACGTGCTTACTTTGATAATAATGTGACAAAGAGCATATTGGAATTATTGGGCTACAATATTGATACAATGAATAATAAATTGAATCAGTTTGTATCTCAGGATGACATCAGCAATATTATAGAAGGTGTTTCTAATTTTAACAATGTAAGATTTGACTTATGCTTGCATTATGTACATTTTCTCCCATTCTTTTAATATAAATTATACATCTTTCTCATTTGATAGGTACTTAATGGAAATGTTATGGTTGGCAATACCACATTTGGTGGCATTGTGCAAGAACAAGACAAGAAGCTGGTGTCGTCAAATAAATCTGCAGATAATACTTACACTATAAATACTTCTGATGGTAATCAGCACATAATGATATCTGTTATAGTTTGATAAAAAAAGAAGAAATTTTTTAATGATTGATTTGACGTTGTTTTCAAGATGAGGATGGTCTTATCACCCAAGCTATTCTCTTGGGAAACATTGAGGCTGCGGTATCGTTATGCTTTACTAGCAAAAGATACGCCGATGCCATAATTCTTTCGATGGCCGCTGGTCCTGAGCTGTTGGCGCGTACTCAGTACAGGTACTTTTCGGAACATTCCAATGCATTAAATTCTCTCATCAATTCATTAGTTAGCGAGAATTGGGCGGAGGTTGTCAAAAATAGTGACATAAAATGCTGGAAGGAGGCACTCGTCGGTATATTTACAAATTCCAGTACGCAGGAACGATCTGCTCTATGTGGTAAGTATGCAAATTATAAATGTTGTAGAAATAATTTTATTATAATTTCACAATATTTATATCTTTTATAATAATTTTATATTATTTATATCTTTTATAATAATTTTACATTATGTATATCTTATAACACGATATGTGTATATAATAGATATGCTTGGCGATCGTTTGGCATCGTGTGAAAACCCCGCTCTTAAAAAGCAAGCTCAAATCTGTTACATTTGCTCCGGCAACTTGAATAAATTGGTTGAAGTGTCCAACGCCGATATTCAAGAGGTGGTAGAGTTAGTCGTAATAATGCAGAAAGCTTTGGAGCTTCAGGGCATCAGGGAAATTCATATGCAAGACAGAATCGCCTCTGTGCTGTCACAGTATGCCGAGATGTTGGCAGCGGAAGGTGATTTAGAAGCTGCCCTGAATTATCTCGGAAATGGTCAAGAACAGAGAGTTGCAATGTTGAGAGATCGTTTGTGCAAGGCTCTGAGTTACGTACAGGAACAGACAAGCGTCCCAAAACCTGCGGGTCTTCAAAACTATCATCAGTATGAGCAGACTGTACCGGGAAGATCGTCGCAAAACACATACAATCCACTGCAACAATTACAACCATTACAGCAGACAGCGCAAAATTTGCAAAACACGTACAATTCGTCACAACAACCGCTGTTACAGCAGACAGCAACACCTGTGCAATACTGGAACACGACTCCACTGAAACAGACTTATGGAGTTTCTACGAATCAAACACTTCAGAATCCTCAGGTGTATGGAATGCCACCACCTCCTCAATCTCAACCGCAATCTACGATTTATGATCAATATTCCGCACCGCAATCGTATAATCAAATTCCAGCTGCTCAGCCGCTTCCTCCTCCACCTCCGTCAGGTTCCAGTTTGAGTGGTGGTTCGAGGCCGTCCAGTGTCGGACCGCAATCGAGATCAAAATATCTAATTGACCCATCCGTCAAATCCACTCCTGTGTACAGTCAGAGTGGTTATCCATCATCCAATCAATTGTACAATTCTCAACAAATCGCCCCCGTTCCTGGCTACTCTTTACAAAATGCATATCAACCTCAAGTTCCCATGTTGAGTAATACCTATACCAGCCAGCCAGCAAGTTTTATGAATAATCCTAAAGAACTCGAACCATACAAGCCGCTTCAACCGAACATAATTCAGCCCCCATTGCAACAAAACACGCCTCAAACTCAAATGTATGAGCATTCTATGGGTGCTCAGGCTCCTTCGCAAATGCAGACACATGGGAACGGGAACGTACATCAATTGTCGTCACAAGCATCCGGCTGGAATGATCCACCGATCGCAAAAAGTTTTAAAGCGCAGGTAAATCAGTTTATTTCTCCAAGTACAATCAGTTTAATTCTCGGTCGATAGCTCCTGCACGTTATTTTCCTTCATTCGTACAAGTTATTTACATTACTGATATAAGTATATATGTATTAAAATTATGTAGCCAGTACTGGCACTATGCAACGCAAACGAAATGTCCGCGGAACATGCGGGTACCAAAAAATGGAAGGCAAAGCATTCGAAAGGTGTAGGCGTTAAGGTAGCTGTTTTCACACTTTGAGAATGTTACATTCTATAACATCTCACAATATGTAGCATACATATTTTACTATTATTGAGGTTCAGAGTGTCTACTCCTTGGAAAAATATAGCAAATCTAAAATTCTCAGGGATTTTCTTTGTACCTGGAAGAATTGGAGAATTGTCAGGAATTTTATTAAGATCTAAAAATTTCAAAATTTTGTTTTTATATTGTAAACAGTCGGCAATAAGTAAGCTATGAATTATTTCTTTAAGATATATTATTCATCTCTCTGTTTATATATTTATGACTTGACAAAATATGCAATGCATATATTTTAATTGTAATTTTTAATGATAAAAGAAAATATGCAAGCGATGAATCTTGCGAAAGGTTGTTTTTCTTTTTTTTTCTTTACATTTGGAATTTTGGTAGTTCTTTACTTTTCTTTTCACATGAATGAAAAACAGTAAAACACACAATAAATTTTTTTTTAATTGCATAAAAAAATCTTTAAATATTCTTTTATTAAAATTTGAGCAGTGTATGCAGTAGACATTCTGTGATTGTTATCCATGTATTCCTATAGTTTATTAATATAATTAATCCAACTGAATTATAATGTGACATTTTTATACATGTGTGATATAAAACTAATAAGTGTATTGCAAAGAATTCAAATTACTTTGCAAATTTTGAAACTAGTATTACACAGATTTTTGTTGATTATTCATATTTCATCTGAATTTTATCATAAATTATACAAGAATCAATAATCTTTTTCATGCTTTGTTTTATTGTTATCACTTCAAATATCAAAGTGAATTTTGTTGAAAGCTTTTCGTTTATTTTCACTATGCTATAGATATTATGCGTCATCAATCATCACTGCAAAGTGATTGAGAGAATCTGAAAAGTTTAAAGCAAGAATAAATCATCATGAATAAATGACATCTATATTTTTTTCAGTCAAAAACCGAGTACCAACCGCAAAATCCAATTTTGCATCCATTGCGAAGCAATCAACCAGAATCGAATGTAAGTCTTACATATATATAAAAAGATTTTTATATATTCATATTTTTTTAATAATCATGTATTTTTTAAATATAATTTGCATGATTATATTTTTTGAATCAACTTTAGCCATCATCACAAGATAATTTCTATCAAGAGTCTCATTCATCTTTCAATGTGCAATATGGTCAAGGCACATTGAATACTGCGCCAGTTAACAAACCAATTGAACCATTATTACAATCTGCGATGCCTGCTGTTCCCGCAAAAGTGGCCGAACCAGAAAAACCTAAAGCACCTATTCCCGAGCAACATGTGCATCTAAAAACGATATTAGATGAATTAAAAAATCAGTGTTATGAAAATGCCAAGAATCCAGTAAGAGCAATTGACATTATTATTATACATATATACAAATTATATTTGTAATAATAAGATAACCGTAACAATTTTCATTTCTTTAAATACTAACTTTACATTTTTTTACCGTCTCAAATCAGATGTTTGAATTCATGTTATTATTCTAGCAAATCAAAAGAAAGATAGAAGATGTATCAAGGAAACTGGAAGTGTTATATGATTGTCTTAGAGAGAATAAAGTAGGTCAATTATATATTATTGTATGCATTATCAAAATTTATATTTATAATTATATTGTTTTTTTGCAGTTATCCCAGAATACTTTACAAGGGTTACATCAGATATCACAAATGATACAAAATGGCAATTATACAGGAGGATTAGATTTACATACGCAATTAGTATCAGGACCAGATTTTAGTCAAATAGCTTCCTTTATGCCTGGGATTAAAGTATTACTTCTAAGTGCCCTTCAATTAAGCGTTTACATTAGATAGAATCATACGTTTAATTGCCCACATTACATATTGTATACTCATGAATTTTTATAATTCTAAATATCCTTAACGACAATTATTTGCATTAACTTTATATAACAATCGGTATATCAATAATGTAGCATATAGCGATATTCAGGCTTGAATTATCATCGTTTATTTACGTTTCTATATACTCTGCTTTAAAAATTGTATATTTTATTAGAATTCAGAGTAGCTTTATATAATTTCGTTAATTATCAATGATCTTTTATTGTTATATACATGTATACACAAAAAAATAACGAAATATATTTACAAACGATATCTATATATAAAAATTTCAAGGCAAAATATGAAAAATTTGTTTTAATAATGATATATGTATATAATTATAATATTAAAATTTGTTATGAGAAATAAAAATTTCAAAAAAATTTTTTTTTCCATAAATCTCAAAATTTTTACTTCCAGTTTTGTGCTCAATATGTAAATTGAAATTTTGTGCGATAAATAAAAGCAATATGTTATTTTAATTGGACATGAATTTTTCTTTATATATTATTCCATATAAAATCTTCACAAAATATTTCATATAATATAATATTTGCCATGTATCACAAGTTATATAATTTTTGCCATGTATCACAAGTTATGACAAAATTAGAACAAGATCCAAAATTAATTCATGAAATAATTAAAGTATGCAGAATTGCAGTTTTTTCATTGACTATGAATTTTTGTAACAATTCGTCTAAAGGATCAATGCCATCGCGTGCAGCTAATCGACGCATGGCTTGCTTCACTTCCTCGCGCACTCCTTTATCAGCACCACGAGTAGTGATACGGCGATCTAAAATACAAATTATAGTTATTTTAATTTACATTTATCATATAAGCAATATAATAAACATGTGTCGAATGAAATATACTTTGTAAAACTCCCGCGGCTGTAGTTATGTCCAATGATATTCCACCACCGTGTTCAGTCCATAAATATGTTAATTCTTCCAAAATATCTACGCATATTATATACGTTTGGAATAACGGGTAAGCAAAACTTCCGCGATTAAGAATTCTTTCAGTTATTGCAGTCAAAGTATTGGCTTCTTGCGGCCAATCTATCTGTATTAGGACTAAAGCATGTCCAATAGCCAAGTCCCCGACATTTCCAAGTAAAGAGAAATTTTCCTAGAATCAATTATAATCTTATATTCTTTCTCTCTTTCTTTCTCTCTCGACCAATCGTATATTACCTTTATAGCTAAAAGAAGCAATTTGCAACAATATTGCAAAACAGAGAAACGGGCGAGAGTCAAATAATGTAAATGTCTTATGCTTGAAACCGTCAAATTGTGAGATATTTTGCCTGACACAGTGGGTAACAAACTTGCTACCAGAACAATATGTTCCAACATTCCCTAAAAAAAGATTATTTTTAATAACTTTGAAAATAGAAGGGAAATATATGAAATTAAAACAAGGGAAATATATGAAATTAAAAATCATGTGATTATAATAATAGCGCACCTTATAATCTCTCAAAAAGAAACACATACTAGCCAAACGAAGATTAACAGATAAATTACTGCCTTCTTGTGATAGTCTGGCCAGCACTTCATGATGTAAGCCTTTATACATCGCCAAATCTGTTAAGAATGGATTCAACCAGGAATCTAATCGTAACTGTTGACTCAGTTTGCCGATTTCTCTTTGAAGATAATCACTACTGTGTAACAAGTCCCACAATTTTACCGCCAATGCTAGACCATTGCCATTGTAATCACTATCACTGGTTACTACTATACTTGCATTTTCTTCTCGTTTTCGTTTTTTCAACTTTGGCTCTGATTTACAGAAATCAAGGAGTAAACATAAAGCTATAATCATTTGAATGTTGTAAATATATTTTACCTGTGGAGGAATGTATTCCTTCTCCAAAAGCCTCTACCAGGCAATACATTGTCTCGTCATTGTTAATAAGAGTGGCATGTTCGTTTAATATTCTTAATAATGTTACAACTGTACACATTAATAATTGTCTGACTACAAGCTCGTCGCATAAGCCTGTATTGTGCGCAATTGCATACTGTTGCAATCTATCACTGTACATCTCGCAGTTCCAAGGCGTAGAAAATAAATTGCTCAACTCCCATCCCAATTTCTTGCCTATTAACTCCACAATTTGGAATAATCTGTCCCATGGGTTTTGAATATGTGCATCCTGCGGCTGCTGTATATATGCCAAGTAAAATTCTATGGCCTTACATAGCAATCTTAAACTGAGACGAGGATTTAATTCTACAGGAGCAGCACCAAGCAATGGCAATGCATCGCATGCTAATAATCTTCTGAAACCATTCACAGCTCGGCCTGGATGACTGTGTTTCTCAGCAGTTAAGAGAGTCTCCACCAAACGTGGCTAAAATGATAAATAGATAATTTCTAAGAAACACATACTTTTATATATTTTAATCAATTTACTAAAAATACAATTTATATATCTTGAGATACATACTCCGTGAGTTGCTATGGTTTGGGGAAATCTACGTAACAACAAAAGCAATAATTTGCAATGCTCCATTGTGTCTTCGCTGTGATCGGCTGTCATGATAAGTAATCTATGTTGCAAATCCTGTGGAATATGTTGAAACATTTGGCATAAAAATTCTGCCTCGCTATCGCATTGCTCCAAGCGAAGGCATGTTGTCACCGTTTCTATTTCTTTCCATATGTCACGATCGTCCGGAAAATTTTGAAATCTATATTTTGGATTAGAAAAAAAAGCATATATGCATACATATATAAATTTCAGTATAATAATCAGTACTCACATTTCGCTGAAACATTTTGCTGCTTCTTTAACATTTTTTGACAGTTTCTCGATTCGATATGCCTCAAACTAAAAACAGTGCAAAGAATTAAGCAACTGTACATTATTATACAACTATATACACAATTATTATACAATTATTATACAACTATATACACTAGTTTCAATCTCAGCTATTATAAAATTTAAACCATTAATTTTCAAAATGTACAATTAATTATCATTATTGTTAATTTGAAAGTAAAAAAAAAGAAAAAAGTTAAGAAGATGATGAAACATTCAAACCTGAACTTTCGCACTATGAGGAAACAGAGATTTTGCAGTAATTAGCCACGATTTAGCAGCATAAATATCGATCGGCAACGCTTCTTTAGCCCTCCTTATTAAATAATCTTCCTTAGATAATTGATTATCCGGACCAGGTGGTTTTTCCAACATTTTGTGTATAATATTAGATGGAGAAAACGTAATCTTTCTAAAATTTTTACCAAATACACCTGTTATATGTAACTTAAATGTACACAACTCTCTCTCTCTTTCTCTCCACACTATTTCCTCTCTCCATAATATTTGTAAATATATAACATTAAATTGTTTATTCTCTTACATAGGCGCTCTTTATTGACGATAAATGATTTTATCTTAGCTAACAGCAAATATTTTCAATTACATGCCAAATAAATATCGCTATTAAATCTTAATTTCAATTTCTGATTTGGGCAACATTACTAGATTTTCCGATGTAATTCGACGCTGATTGGTCGGATCTGAAAGTAGAAACCAATCATATTCGTTTGCTACTTAGCGGTTATGTCCGCTGAATGCAGCCATGACGTTGAAGATGCTTTGAAACGTTTGATTGACCAATCAGGTAAAAGGAGTAAAGATTTCTTTAATCTGATTGGTCAATCAAACGCTTCAAAGCATCCTCAGCGTCTCTTTGATCGCAGCCATTACAAGAATTTCCGATGTAATTCGACGCTGATTCATCGGACCTAAAAGTAGAAACCAATCATGTTCGATTGCTGTTCAGCAGTTAATTCGTTGGGTCCTTAGGACGCATTCATGCCTTGGCAAATAAAGTCACTAGATTTACAAAGTACCTCAATCATTCGCCATTTTGGCTCCAACAGGCGGCATTCAAATTATATATTTGCATGAACCCTTGATGACAATATATTTTTGTCAATTAATTTCAGTTATTCGCGTTTTTTGTTATTTTCGCTTTTTGGGATGAGAAATAAACGAAAACCTTTTTCGTTTTGATTTCTAGCAGAGAGAAGCCTGAGAGCGGTCATGGCTCCCTGATTTAGGTGAAACCCGTATTTGAAGCGCTTCTAAAAATAATTTGTAATTGCTTTTTCAATATTAAAAGATTAATATTATTACAGTTTCTTAACAGCATATGTAGATACTGAGAATATTTGAAGAATATCGCAAAAGTATAATGCATATATTCCCCAGATAGAACATGAAACTCATAATGACATCATTATGACGTCACCTAAAAATCATTTTAGAAAAATCATAATGATCTCATTTGATATACTTTTTTTTGGTGACTTATTAATATCATTTTATTAATTATTCATTTTATTATTTATTTATTTAATCATTTTATTAATATCATTTTTTATATATATTACGCAATTATTTGTTTATTTAATTATTCATGTATATTTTAATTATATTTAAGCAACATAATCTTTTTAAAATTATATAATGCGATTATTGAACTTAAAAATTTATGATTCTTTTTGTCATCTTTAACTTATTTTTTAATCATTTTTGTTTAAGTAATTTTTGAGTGATAAATAAAATCATGACGTCAATGATGTCATTAAGAGTTTCATGTTCTACTGGGTCATCATTCAGAACATTCGAGCTCTGGAGCTCCATATATAAATAACTACAGACGGTTAATTTTTTTTAAATTCCATCATACATATATCTATATACAGAACATTAAATGAATATCCATCCAAAAATAAATATCAATATATACATAAAAAAATGTATTTATATATAATAAATATTCACTGAATGTTGTACAGATATTTACAAGATATTGATTTACATATGTGACTTGTAGATATTTATGAAACCTCGAATTGCGGACATTTGGATATCCACAACATTTACAATAACTATTTTTCATATATTCGTGGAAATCTTTAAGCCTATGAAGAATATCTAGTGGATATTTAATACCAATTATTTTCTGTATGGGAATTAAATCGATCAAGTTTTTGAGAAATGACATTAAAATAAAAATTTAGTAATTAATGGACATAATATTAAATTGATTGAAAATTGACTTATAATCGTCATAAAGTTGACTTCTAAGTCGACTTATTAGCTGAGTGACAGTCGACTATAGTCAAGTCATTTGTCGGGTGTTAGTCGACCTTAAGTTGACATTTAGTCTGACTTTGAAGTCGACTTTAGACTTTTTCTGCCGATTGACAGTCAATTAACGGTCGACTTGGTGCTGTTTGGGTATTTATTCTATCTTCTATAATACATATATGGCGGAATTCGACATCAAAAAATATTAATCGTAGCAGCTAACTTTTGGAGCTCTAGGTTCCTCTTATAAAAGAAGAGATACGGCTATAATAGTCATCGAGCTAATGCGCTCTTTTTTTCCAATAATGCCGCAGCCTTACACAGAAAAAAAATAAGTGTCAAATCAAAACTTATATACTTATACTTAAATTAACGCATTCATTGTTTCATATATACGCAACAATTTATAATCTTTTTAGAAGAATTTAATCATTTTAAATTTCAACAATATTATAGTCTTATTATAATTGTCACCTCAAGAATATATAATTATTTAAATCTATTTTAAGAAAATAATCTTTGATTTAAAATGTTATTTTCTATCTAACATTGTTTCTTTTCCATTCAGAGATTTAAGATTTAATTTCCACAAGAAAATTAAATCTTAAATTGTAAGAATATATTTTTTTGATTGAACTATATAAAATGGCTTCATTCAAGTAAACAATTATTCAAGCAATTATATTTTTCTTTAATTAACGCAATATAATCTTATTTCAAGATTTCCATGTTAAAACTAAATATATTTTCGAAACAAGAATGTCCTTTTTTTTCTGTGTATATACTGTCTTAGATGGATTTCATTTTCGGGTTAGGCGTTTTCCTTTTCGCTTCCTAGCGAACATGGTATTTTTTATTACAGATTCGAATTGTACGTGAAAAAATAAGAAACTTTTGTATCAAACGTTTTTTCTAAAAGTGCCTCTGTCAATCTTAAAATTCTTGAAAGTAAATGTGATGAACTTTAATAAAAAGTGCCTCTAAAAAAATTCAACTTTCGATCCGGATGACGTATTTCCGGTCGGAATCAAAAGTTGAAAATATCACCATTTGATTCACGCATGCTCAGTCTATCAGTTTATGACGTAAAAGTGAGAAAAATATTAAAAGAGATAATGGGTGGATTCTGTGATTTATAAAGTATTTAATTCATGTTTTGTGGTACAAAAAATATTTTAATTAAGGTTTCATTTGTTTATTTTCTTTAATATTTATATTTTATTTTGTTAATCTCTATATACAATTAAATATTTATTATATTTTTTATTATATTTTAATCAAATAATCATAATGTTTAGTTTCTCTAAAACGTTTATTTTTTATTTATGTTGCTAAAATATAATGTTTATATAAAGTTCAAGATTTGTCTGATTCAAATATGAGCGAGAATTGCTCAGATCTAGAGGACCAATTAAAAACTGGATATCACATGGTATGATTTAGACAGTCAGACATAGATTTATTTTTATATTTTGCTCTACATTAATCCAAAAAATAAATATCCAAGATTTAAATATTGATCTTTTGATAATTTATATTTAAACATTAATAAAATGTCAAAAAGATCAATCATTTCTAATATTCTTGAAAAAAATTCTTAAAAATTATTAATTTTTCCTACTATTAGAATAAAAACTGGGTCCTCCATTTCAATTATAATACGCGCGATAAAGCATCCCAATGGCTTATATTATCGTCTCAATTACCGACATCATCAATTGCCAGACAATACGCGTCGATCTGGCGGCTTAAAGGTCGACGATTTTTCTCGAGATTTTTCCCGGGACAGCGCGAGGCGGGCAACAAAGACGTAATTTTGCAAATCCCCTGAGCGATATGGAGGCGTTTCCGCGTACGGGCTCGAGTAGTTCCATTTATAAAGATATAACAGAGCGTCTTAAATCCGCTTATGCTATACTATGTACTCCATGAGACGCAGATTCTATCCCGTGAGCCTCCCACAAAAGCTCCCTTAAGTGGTTATGGCGCTTTGGCTTTGTATCCGACGGCTTTTCGCGGGCTCGACTTAAGTATCGGAAATAAAGCTTCATCGACCCGATCTTGATTTATGCGCGAAAATGGAAAATCGCCATCGAATTGCCTTTTCAGTACTAACCTGCACGAAGGATGATTTATCATCGATGGTCCATCTGATTTCCTTGATATAAAGAATCTAGAGGTAGAACAAAACAACTCTTTACATACAAAGTAATACTCTTTAAAGATATTCTTTGTCGCAACGTTATTGGAAATATTAATAATTAAATTAGCTAACAATAAGAAACGTACATATATTTTATTGTTACTTTTACGATCCACAAGATAATATATAATGTTTTTTATAAAACTATATATTCCTTTTTCTTTAAAAATGAAAGAATATAAGCTCTAATTTTTAAGTAATATATATATATATATATATATATATATATATATATATATAATTGGAGAACGTGTATTTCAAATCAAACATAAAATATAGTAAAATTAAACATAAAATATAGTAAAACATTAATGATTTATTAAAAAATAAAAAATTTGAAATACAAATTATAAATAATAATGAAATAATGAAATAAAAATTATAATAAATTAATTTTTGTGTATTTCAAGTCAAACATAAAATATAGTAAAACATTAATGATTTATTAAAAAATAAAAAATTTGAAATACAAATTATAAATAATAATGAAATAAAAATGAAAATTATAAATAATAATGAAATAATGAAATAAAAATTATAATAAATTAATTTTTGTGTATTGTAAGATTTTTTTTCTATAATGCATTTTTTCTCTCTCATCTTCCGAGAGAAGATTGTCGAATGGAAATTAGTTAATATAGTTATTTCGAGCCGAGATCCATGGGGTGACAATGGTGTCATGTTTCGTCTGCAACTAAATTTCGCATCTACAAGGCGGTTAGGAATGCACAGCCGGTGGCTGTATTAGTTTCTTCTCTGTCTCTCCTTCACGGTGGTTCCCATAATAGCATTAAAATTACTGAGGAAATTCAATTCTCATAGAGTTGGATATATATCGCTCGTATAGCTCATACTCGTGCTTATAGTCGATTGTGCACGAAAAAAATCATGACAAATGGATAGCGTTTAACATTCGATTCGAATCAATACTCAGCTTAACCTCAGATGAGATAAGAAGGAAAAATAAAATTATATATTTCTCGATATAACATTGTGATACAGAATTAATAAGTATA